AGGATGATCAGGTGGGAAGAGTGCCCACCCCGAGAACAGGCAGAAAGAGCCCAAACAGGGGGCATGGCTTTGGGGCCTGTCTGGAGGGCTTTTTGTAGATTTACTTGGGTTAGAGAGGTCTGCGTAGTTTGGAAGGACTCAAGGCAGGAATTGATCTGGCTCAGGCTTATCTAGCAGAGCCTCTTAAATCCAACAGAGGCAGAGATTTACTTTCTGCAAGAGAAAGCTCTTTGTTTCTACCTATAAAGATAGGTCTTTTTTTCCCCTGTATGTGGGTGGCCGAGTGTGCACTATGCGATTTCCCTCCCCTCTTTCAGCACCCCATCTAGATGGGCCTGTGTTCAGGCGTTCCCTGGGAGCTCTCGGTCTTACCTGATTGAGAAGCAAACTGCATGTTATGGTGTTCTGGGTCTCCCCAGGCCCTAAATGTCCATTTGAGACTCTGTGCCCTCCTCATCTCCCACTGTCTACTGCCTCCTCTGGGCCTGATCATGCCACCCCACCCCCCACCCCAAACAAAAGGCATTCTCACCGATTTGTTCTAGAACTGCTTCCTTTCTCCCTTTTACACTAAAACTCCCAAATCACAGCAAACAATATATTCTAAAATTCCCGTAGAAGTACTACACTGGTTATTTTAATATTCTACTTAAGTCACTACCAACTCCCTCCTTCATCTGTGAGGGTATCATCTGATTTTGGTTTTACTTTTCCCATGGGCCATTAGTATGGACCTAGACCTAACCCTTATTGGGGGAGAATCCTATCCATAACCAATCAGGGCTGGGCCTCAAAAGCACATGCTTGCCCAAGAGAAACAAATGCTTGCTTCTCACTATTCCTCTTTCTCTTTAAAACCAAATATTGATAAACATCTTGGAAACTGAGGTCTACCACAAGGCACCCTGTCCTGGTTTCTTGAGGGAAAACACCTGCGCAGCGCTGGCCCAGCTGGGCTGTGTCTCTCAAGGAATGACTCCCTAACCTTATCAGTTCAGTTATAACCAATAACAGCTGTCAGCTACAGCTCTCTGGAGGGAAAGAGGTGCATCACCGCCATCTTCTCACACTCAGGAGCTCTTCCTCTCTCCTGGTCACAGCAGGATGAAGGAATCCCTCATTTCCAGTTGGGTTCTCAAGCTATCATGGCAAGACAGGAAGACGGCTGCCTTCCCAAATGCACACTACTGAAGGAGACAGGCAATCTTTCACCCCAAGCAGGCAACTAAGTCATGAAGTCTCATCAGAAAACCTCAAAGTCAGAGTGCCTGGGTGGCTCAGTCAGTGAAGTGTTCAACTCTTGGCTTTGGCTTGGGTCATGATCTCGAGGGAGTGAGACAGAATCCCACGGCTGGCTCTGTGCTCAAAGAGGAGTCTGTTGAAGACTTTCTCTCTCTTTGCCTTTGCCCTCCAACCCCTCTCTTTCTCAAATAAATAAATGTTAAAAAAAAAAAAAAAGAAAAAGAAAACCTCAAAGTCACTGTTATCATGGTTTCTGCATGGAGCCAACTCATCCTCCCAGCAGAAACATACATAGGAGTTTTCCCAGGGAAACTTTCCATGTGAGCAGCAAATCCTTCAGACCCGTCCAAAGCTGGGGCTGCAGTCTTTCCCACCCTTTTTCTTTCTCAGGTAAGCAGAAAGCTGTTGATTGTAGCTGAGGTACTTGAATTTCCTAGGGAAGTCCCTCTTGCTGATACACTGGCTTTCTTCTGCAACTAGGATGCCATGGATTGTCCTTTCTGCCTTGGTTGGGAGAAATCTGAAAGTACCTTGGTTTTTTCGACATATAACAAGTTTTCTTCTTATTTCCGTCTCTTAGAACATGGGTCTTTAATAGCCCTGATGTATGGGTATATTATCATAAAAGTGATCCCAAATCATTTCAAGTAGAGATTAGAAATTTTTAAAAAGTAATACTAGTTTCCTAATCTATTAAATAAAAGCTAAATAATACCTACCTCATAGAACTGATCAATAGCACAATGATTGCACAGCATCTAACAGAGTAGGTGGTTGGTAAATGAGATCTGATTTGACTTAAACATCATTAGTACATTATTAATTCCTGTCCTAAGCAGAATTATTGATATTACCATGGCAAGAATTTTCCATTTAATTCATAACTTAAAACCCACATGATTGCAGACTGGATTAGAGACAGTTTATGGTACCAAAGAAATTATTTTTGAACTACAATATGTAAAATATGATCATTCATAAAAAGAGACACAGAAAGAGGGAGGAAAAACAAAATTCCAGGATCTGGATGAGTTAATTGAGGAAAATGAGCTTGATATTCCCTTTGTGTTTTCTGACAGCCAAAGCAGGGAGAAAATCAGGTAATGTATAGGACTCTCATTGTCTGATAAATGCAACGTGTACCTCACATGGAAAGTGAATTTTTCTCCTGGCATTCAGAGCTTGAGTAATGGCTTGCACAGAGTCTTAAATGAGATTCAGTGGGTAAGCAACAGAAGGGCCATACTTAGGAGCACCCAGGGGCAAAGGCACACGCCCAACTTTCAGAAGAAAGTTTCACTTTATCAGTATTAAATTTTAGGGACCAATGGGTGAGGTACATATAAGGGTACTCTTTTTCATTTTCTAAAGCTTTCACTGAGAAATTTTCTTGAAGAGCACAGACCAGTGCTCAGGTCCTCCGAGAATACCCTCCCATCCTCTCTTAGTGCACATGTACTTAAAGAACATACTTACTTTAACTTAAGGAGTTAAATGACTCCACTCTGTTTCAATAGGCAGCCGCCTACAGGCTTCAGATCTGTGAAGCAGTCTGGCAAGTGGCTTCACTAGGACTACAGGCTGATCCCTCTTGTTAAGCCCCCACACAGCCTTGCCTGGGGCTCTGAGCCAACTGGTCAGAAGGGACTGCAGATGCAGAGACTGTGGCTTCGTCCCTCAGAGACCTGCTTCCCATTGCTCGCAAATAATCAGTGACAACAGACTTCCCTGGGAAAACTATAATCGCCCAACTAGGGGCAAGGCCAAATGCTCGCAGAATTTATTGGCTTTGATGAACAATTAGGTGTTTGTTTTCGTAGGTAATTAGAGCGCAATAGCAAGCTATAAAGGGCCCTCCAAGAAACTGAAGCAGACTATAGCTAAAGGCTACTGGAGTCGGACTGAATCTCCCCATTCATTCCTGCAGCCCTCCTGCGCTGGAATGCCAGCGGCCTGCACAATCGCACAGGTCAGCAGGGAGAAAATGGCCCCCGGTGCGCTTCACGTCCAAGGAGAAAGGCCTCTGTGCAGCACGTGTGTCCTCACACATGGGTGCAAAGAGCACTCCGGTGTGGGCCCTGGCACTGAAGACTGCATGGAATCTTGCAGTTCATATAAACAGATGCATCCAAAAGTCCACAACAACCCACGTGTTGGAAAATGTTTTGACAACTGCATTCTCAAGACCACTAGGTCCTTGATTCTGAGGAACCAGGACGGGCCCGGTGGGACCTTTGGCACAAAGAAGAGAAGAGAGGATGTTTGCCAAGGCCGTACTGATTTATGTTTCTCTCTCAGCAACCACTTTCCACCACAGCTTTGAGTATGTGTGTGTGTGTTTAGCAAATCAGAAATATGAATACATATTTGATTACGATTAATTTTTAAAAATTATTTCTTAGTAGTATAGGCAAAAAAAAGGTGTGGGCAAAGGGCTGTTGCCAATATTTAAAAAATACTGTTGAGATAAAAGAACTGTGTACTTAGAGACAACTACTCATTTTGCTTCTTTTAGTCGATGACATGTTATTTCTGCCTTAATCCCAGGAAATACACACAGGATTATTATCATTTGCTCTGCTCACATCATGATACTCAGTAGGCACAAAAAAGGTAACAACCAAACCCATCTACAAGAGTGAAAAAAATGAGAATGGGACCAGAGAAAACAAGACCAAAAAAATACAAATAAAGCCACAGATACAGCTAACCTTAGAGGAAACTGATTTTGTGCTTCTCCTTACAGACCGACTTTACTTTTGCAGAAGGTTGAGCTCACATTTAGGGTCCCGCGCATCATACTCAGCAGGTCATTAGGAAACACTTTGTTTTTTCGCCAAGAACTAGACTTCTATTTAATTTTGTTCTACCCAACCCGGTATAAATTCTCCTATTGTTCTGCATGCTCTGACCGCCTCAATTTATGTATTTATTTTTTAAGTTCTCATGCAGTCATACCACAGTTTTTTTTTCCCCTCAGAGAAATACAAAACAGACACCTACTGCAGGAGAAGTAGTAAACCCTCAAGCCACAGTTTCAGGATCAGCTGGCTTTCCGCCACCTGAGATTTCCTGCAGGTGATCTCCATCTTGGGCCAGCCACTCAACCCCTCTGACCTTCTTTTCCCTCCTCTGAAAATCCGGGAGTATGCCTTAGATCCTTCCCACAACATCTTTGGGCTCTGAGGTTTTATGGCTCTTCCCTCCTCTGGGGAAGAATTTCCATGGACAAAGGCAGCAGCTGAGAGGTCTTTTAAACTAAGACACTGACATTCTGACTTAAGACAGTTGGACTTCATTGGAAACCGGCTCTCAAGGAAATAGAAAGTCAACAGTATGAAGATAATCCCATTATCTGAACAATAGAGTGAATCAAAGATCATGCTGGTCCAGGAAAGGAAATGCAACCAAAGAAGACATTCCGACACAAACCTCTTTGCTCTAGACTGTATGCACTAGGAAGAGACATGAACATGAAATGAACATTTCAAGTCTCAGATCATCTGGTCAGTAATCTTTCTGGGCTCCCTGAAGGACTGAGACCCAGGCCTGCTGGCCTATGTCTGTGTTACAGAAGAAGCAAAGGCAAAGAGCAGCACTGTTTCAGAACTTTTGGAATTCAAGGAAAAAAAAAAATATATATATATATATATTTATATATGTATACATAAATACATATGTTTCAGAATATATATATGCATACATATATTCAGGAAGGGAATTGGAAAAGGCAGAACAATACCGAGTCTGATACTTACTTGTGGCCCAGCTCATGAGCGATGGTAAAGGCCAAATTGAGACCATTGTCTTCGGCAAGCACACATTTCCTCTTAGCACTGCACACGCCTCCTAAGTAAGCAATTCCTGCAGCAGAGACAAAAACACATCCTCTTCAGAATGTGGGAGGCCCTGACCTCGCTAGGCCAGTCCATAAGGTCAACATCACTCAAGACGGAGAGGGGAGGGGCAGACTAGAATGGTAACGTGGCCATGGGGCTGGAGCCGTCATTCCAGAGCTCCTGCGGAGGATGGGCTGGTGTCTACTGCTTTGGGATTCAGCGACAAAGCATTAATAGTAATAATAACCACCATGCAGATCTCCCAAGCATTTAGTAGGTGTCAGGCAATGTGCTGTATTTGCACGCATTATCTCATTTCATCGTAATTACCCAGGCTGGCGGTGACAAAGGGAGACCAAGGCTCTGCAGGGAAAGGTGAGTTGGAGTGGCGTGTGGTGGTGGGATCCTCTCCAACTTCAACATCCAAGGTGGGGACGAGGTGAGGCCAGCGAGGCAAGGCCCCCAGCGTGAAAAGCTGAAGGAGGGTCCCCCTCCCCAGAACTGACCCTGTGCTTGCACACCCAGAGAGAAAGGGGATTCCTCCTTAAGTTCTGCACCCCTGTCACCTTCTTTCCCTCCTCCCAGTCCGAGCCCTACAGGACCAGTACCCTCAGGGTGGGAGCAGGGCACCTAGGAGCCACTAGACTCACAGAAAGCAGGCCAGGGACGGCTATGCATGATATTCAGAAAAAACGTTTCAGGAGCCTTCCAGAGAGAATGAGACTGGGAGAGAGAGAGAGAATACCCTGGAAGAGGAGTCATCAGTGATGCTGAGCCCCACAGACCAACTCACTCATCTCCACACACACCTGACTGGGGTCCTTTGGCCGCTGAGACAAGAACCGAACCCAGGCCCCCGGCTGGAAGCCAGACTCAGGGGAAGGGTGTAAGCGAGGGAAAGGAGGCTGCCAGCCTCTGGAGGATGGAGGGGAGTTTTCTAGGGGACAGAGGTTACCCTGGCAGAAAGGCATGTGTGAACAACAAGAGGGCTTTGGCCCGCCATGTCTGAGGGACAGCCACGTGTCTGCAGCTGCCACTCCCCACGGTAGCTCTCCACGTTCCCTGTTAGCTCCTGCTGTCTCTGCACCCAGACAGGCATCCCTCACTACCCAGGTGCTTCTCGATGACTCGGGGTTTATCTCAACACCAGGAATCCACAGGCCTCCACCCCATCCCAGGGCTTGGGACGGAACCCGTGTGAGGACGGGAAGCTCCTGTACTCCCCAGGAACTGTAGCCTCTGACCCCTTCATACAGCATGAGACACATACATGAGTGGGTGGTGGCCCAGGGCGGCTGGCATGGAGCACACTGGCAGCGGTTCAAGGCTCCCCTTGCTGTGAGTTCACAGGGGCTCTGGGGTGGGCTGTGGCTCCACTGGCCCCACAGCCAAGCATGCGCCGCCCAGGGATACCTGGTGACCAGGTGGATAAAGGCTGTCTCAGCCAGACTCTTCCCATCAGCGCTGTGCCCTGAGAGGAACTGTGGCCACCGGCATGAGAGGCGCCCATTTTCCACCCACGATGCCATGCCCCCTGCAAGTTGCATGCTGCCCCCTGTTTAATGGGCCCCTTTCACTAATGCGCACCAGGTGTCTCAGGAGCAGACACCAGCCTTGCAGGCACAGGAACTGGGGAGGGAGGGAAGGAGTTGGTGGAAAGTGGAGGAAAATGGACAGGGGAAGTTAATTAAAAATGAACCTCTTTCCTTGCTTCCCAAAAGCGACAACTATCCTCTTTGTTGACACAAATCCAAATGGAGGTGGCCCTCAGCCTCACACAGGACACTCCCTCCTTCCTCCCAACGGCCCCCCAGGAGTCCTAAGAGGCAGAGCTCCCTTGACCTGGGCTCTACTCTGCAGGGAGATGCTGCTCTGGGGCTGAGCTCAGAGTCGGCACACCAAGCCGGCACCACAGCGCATGTCGATTTTTATTTGGGAATATGCAACATGCTTGGCCAAGGTTGAAGAATTAAGGAAGAAAAAAAGAGAGAGAAACAGAGGGAGAGAGAGAAAACGAAAAAAAAGAAATGTTAGTTGGCCTCAAGATGTGTTTTTTTTTTGCACGTGGACATCATAATCCAGCAAAGCAGACATTGGAAGTAGAAAAATGACAACCAGAAAGTACATGATCTGGCTTCTTGGTGCCTTCAAGGTCATTATTCTGGTTTTGTTTAAAAATGCTTTGTGGGTTGCTGCACCAAGTCCAGCAGTGAGTAGGTGGAATGCTTCTACACAGCACCAATGGTATGTGCGTGCAACACACACACACACACACACACACTCAAATGCACACCCAGCAGGCCTCTCCCGGCCTGGGGGCTGCAGCGTCCTGGGTCAATGAATCAATAAGAACAATCAGATGTTCACCCCCCCCCCACCCAGGAAAAGCCATCTGGTGAATGGGGAAGGGAGGCATCTGAAGCCAGCTGTGCTGAGCTTGCGGTCCCAAGAGTGGCTGCTGAACCAGCAGACTTCGAAGCCACACGAACACGTTCCTGGCCCCTGCCACTCTCAGCACCCGGAGCCGGCAGGCCTGAGTTTCCACTGTAATTAGGTAACACGCAACATTAGGGAAACAGCTAAGCAAAGAGCCTTCCAATAATTGCATTTTAATTTTTCCAAGACACAGAGGATTTTTTTTTTAAGGAGAAAACAAAGGATCAGTTTATTTAGGAGAAATGTTCTCACACTCGGAGGTGGATTAAGATCTAGTGCTTTGAATGATGTATTCCAATCATGCACAGCCTGGTCAGGAAAGCAAGCAAGGCAAAGTGCGTAAGAGAAGATGGCCCCCAAGATGGAGTGCAGGAGCCTGGAGACTTTAGGATCCATGGTGTGGAAATGCCTACAACTCACAAAGTCTGGAGAAAATCCCAGGTTGTGGTAAAAGTAAGAGCTGCAGGGGCGCCTGGGTGGCTCAGTGGGTTGAGGCCTCTGCCTTCGGCTCAGGTCGTGATCCCAGGGTCCTGGGATCGAGCCCCGCGTCGGGCTCTCTGCTCGGCGGGGGGAGCCTGCCAAGTCCCCTCTCTCTCTGCCTGCCTCTCTGCCTGCTTGTGATCTCTGTCTGTCAAATAAGTGGATAAAATCTTAAAAAAAAAAAAAAAAAAAAAAAAAAAGTAAGAGCTGCAGGCAATAAGCGACAATTGAGCCATGAGCTTCAAGGAGAAACAAAGCGCACCACTATTCCCTGTTCCGTGGAAAGAATGGAGCAGCAGTGGGAAGGGGCGGGGAGGCTGAGGCTGTGGCCCCAGAGGGAACTTCCTATTGCACCAGAATTCCCTACACCTACAGTAAGACCCTAGAGTGGTGTTTTCCATGTCTTTAGCCTTCCGTGATTTACAATTCTTCACCAAAAAGGGAAGAAAAGCAACATGGAACTTATTTTTGAAATGTTAAAAACATCAATTCCACATATTTGCAGAGCTCCTTGGAACAAAAAGGGAAACAGAAAGGCAACTGGCATTTACTGGGATCCCCTCTAGGGGCAAGCATAACTAGGAACGCATGACCCTCCCTTATTTGGTGGGTATGGTTACTGGCCCCATTTTACACACAGGGAAATTGAGGCCCAGTAACCAATTATATGGCTGACCAAGCTGGACCCAGGTACAAAAACAGGACTCTCTCTAATACCGGTGCTCCTCCAGGTAAACCCGGAGCCTCCCTCACCAAAGCTTTGGTGACCAAGAACAATGAGTCATCTTTGTGGGTTTCAAAGATTTTCATAAATCTTAATGTGTTCTTATGCAGAGATGTGGGTGGGATAAAATAAAGGTTTCAGACATTTAAGTCCAAGCTTTTTTAAACTAAAGATAAAAAAGACTCAAGGGATATGTGCAACAATATTAGCAGTTACCTCTGCTAATGGCACAGTTCGTTGAGGATCTGACTCTTGGTTCCAGCTCAGGGCATGATCTTGAGGTTGTGAGATCAAGCCCTGTGTCGGACTCTGAGCTGAGCATGGGGGCTGCTTGAGATTCTCTCTCCCTCTCCCCCTGCCCCTCCTGCTCATGAGCTCTCTTTCTCTAAAATAAAAACATAAATCTTAAAAAAAAATCCAAAATGCCAACAATAAAAATGAAGAGATGTAAAGATATTTTTTCTGATGCCTGGAGAAGTCTATCAGATTCATTTAGAAAAGCCAAAGTCTCCTAACCCATCTTCCCAGCCATGTCAACTCAGTGTGGACATTCTCCCTTCTCTTCCTTTCCTTGGTAGGACTGCAACTTTGGAGAGGAAATTGGGTGACGAAGTTTAATTATTTTCTTTTTCAGTAGAAAACTGCATGATATAAGCACATAATTCTTAAACTCAAGAGTTGACCATATCCTTTCTAGATTAAGGAATAAACAACACACAACTGTATAAACTCTGATTTATCCAGCAAATTGTCACATGTAAACAGTTTGCAGCTGTTGGCCTTATTGGTCATTACTCATACCTTCTTGGACTCTGCCTCCGAAAAAAATGGTCGAGTTTCTCCTACCAACTGCTCAAAGTACTAACACCATAATGGTTATCACTGGGACACCACGCTGCCAATTACAAGATAGCAACTTAGAGCTCTTCACTTGGCAGTCACAGTGATTGAGACAGAGTTGCTCATTCAGCCTTGTGGACATGACCTCACGCTGATGTAAACTTCCCTAAGTGATTGGAGGTATGATCTGAATTTGCAAACAGCATTTAGAAGCAAATGTCTTAGAGTCTAGGGTGTGACAAATGATAAAGAACTACAGTCAATTCTCATTATCTCTGGGAATTAGATTCTAAAAAGGCACTATGAACACGAAACTCTCAAATACGGAACCACCGCTCCTAGGGGACATACAGGAGTAGGTTCCTGTAAGCCTCTGGTCACAATACCTTTGTCAACTAATATGTAACCTTGTTTTATGTGAGTTCCTGTTTAAAGACACGTTAATATATATTGTTGATTCATTAACTTTGAATTCATGGCCAACAATCCTATAACTCACACCTAAATGAAGTTTAATCTTGTATTTTTCTCTGTAAGACAAACTG